AACTTTTTCCTTAACTAGGTTTCTTCTCTCCACTCTTCTTTTCTTCAACTCCAAACCCCCAAACAAGGTGTTTTGAAATATTTTTCAAAGATTTCATCTCTCTTTCATTCATTTCCACTTTGTCCTCGCTCGGTTTACCGAAAAGCACAACATTTGACAAAATGCGAGACTCGGAACATCGTAGGAACTTTTTCAAAATATTTTGAAAGAAAGGAGTTTAAGATCTAAAATCTTTTTGGTCCAAAAATGGGTGTGAGGTTTGGATTTGACTTTCTCCTTGCCTGAGAAATCGAACCTTTGCACTGCACACCTTTCATTACCAAGTAAACCATCTGTAACGCCCAAGTCTTAAGGGCGGTCAAAAATGGGGTGTCTACAGTGAGCGACTCGCCAGCCATGGTTAGAATACAAGCTGGGTAGGTCCCCTAATTCGATGAAAATGTCTTCGAAGGACGTGTCCACTCGGCCAGAAGTGGATGGAGGATTGAGGCCGGCTTCTTCAAAAGCCAAATTTAGTGCCGCGTCAATCTCCTCCTCTAGTCCGTTGAATCTGTCTAAGGATGGTTGATTTGGCTGCTCAGCAACTTCTTCGGCTGCTTGTTCGTCCCCTGGCTCTGAGTCTGAAGCCTCAAAACCAATTTGCCTAAGGTTCTTGAAGCTCGAAAAAACAAGCGCTGTAAGGTGCTGTTCGCCCCTCGGAACTGGAATATTATTGGCGACCGAAAAAGTAGTGTAGGTCGGCTCGTATCTCAGAAGAATGTGGGCCATCCTCCCTTGTTTTTGGAGATTTGAATGGCCAAAGAACTGGAGTACCGTTCTGAGCTGTGCAAGTATAGCGTCGTCGGCCGAAAGGAGAACTTTCGTCAAATCGTTTCCTGCACAAATAAGACAGTAAATACGTAGAATTTGAACCACGTAAATACTTAATAAAAATTCTTGGGGAGTTAAACGGCCACTTGGTTCGCCCCTTCGCCTGGGCACTGGATCTTGATGATCTTCGCCCTCGCCGAATTCCTAGTTGCCACGGACAACGACCATGACATCATCAACACGCTTGCTAGAGCTGGCAAGCATAGTCACCAAATGATGGTCGGTGTCCTTGGCCTTGAGGAAATAACGCCCATGCCGACTAGAGGATTTGGCCAAGGCATAACAATGCCGAATGGCATGGATCCCAAGCTTAAGCCTAAGGCACCGGTTTAGCTCTACAATTTCCATTATTGTTCTGTAAAAGTTTATGTTCGGCTGAGAGGGGATTAAACCCCAAAGGCGAAGGACAACCCTCAGAAGTGGATGAAGAGGGAAACGGACTCCGCTCTTGGCGATTGACAGGAGAGGAAAGACGATTGTACTCTCGTCGATCATCTCCGTGTCAATCACGTTCTCTGCCAAAAGTGACATAGGGACATCGTCAGCGATAGAAAAATGGCAACGGAAACCAGAGACTCAATCCGCAGAAAGAAGGGCTCTTAAATGTTTCGCCGTCATAGCAAGTAAAGTGGACACTCTACACAGCAAATAAACAAGGAAAAGGGAGTCGAAATGGAAAAGAAAAAAAAAACTTACAAGAAATGAGGAGGACAATGAAGAACGAAAAGAAGTTGCAGTGGGCGTGAAGCAAGGGAAGTGAACTGATAGGCAACGAGAAACCTTGTGTATTCAAAAACATACAAACGAAAAGACAACTCGGTTTTAAATCATATTAAATGAATGAAGTGTACGAAAGAGTCGGGAGATTGTAATAATGCCTAAAAAGAGTGGGCGTTCTGACGTTCGTATTGGAATAAGGGAAACCACCGTATTTTTTGACCCTCTAAGTCCAAGACCAAACATGCCGACTAACTGACATTAATAGGATGTTTGGGGGGCAATTGTGGGGGCCAAATATACTTTTTACTTAGAGAAGCCAAGTAATTTAAAGAAAGAAATCAAGTTATGTACTATACGGCTCTGTCCTGAAGGGACGGAGGCCGAATAACTAGATCGGCTGAAGAATCAATTGTAAACCGGGCCGAGTACGAGCAGGAAGCCGAATGAGCGACTATTCTTTGGACGAAAGGTGGGCCCAACCATCAACATCAAGGACGACTATAAATAAGAAGAGCATCAGCTAAGAAAAGGTATGCAAGAAAAAGAAAGATTAACTTGAGATAAAAGCAATACAGAGAATATACACTGACTTATCCGTCGGAGTGCTAATTCCGGCACCCCCGACCAGAGTGTTCATTCCTTTTCAGGTGATTAGCTGAGGATCAAGAGCGTCCAATTGGATCCATAGAGTATTTCCAAACTACTTCTCCACATAGGTGATTAAGACAGATACTAGAGCCAAGTAGGTGATTAATCCAACACGTATAATCATATTTGACCTTGCTGGTAAAATAACTAGAGCAAGGAGCCATGTCTGCATAATCAAGACAGTTAACTATGTCAAAATTAAAAGACAGTGAAATAAAAATTAAATAAGAAAAAAGAAAATAGCATTTAAAGAATAAAAGAACTAACTCAATTGCGGTAAAAACCACACTGCAAATGTTGGTAACACAGTAGTTATGAAATAGCATAATACAAGAGCAATTATGAAATAAACAAGAGGCCTACATACCCCTTGGATTCTCTTTCCAGTAGCAGCACGTTTAGGTCCACTAGACCTCTTCTTGGTGCTCTGATACACCAACCTCCCTCCTTAATTCACACAAAATTTAGCTCAAATGAGAAATTTAACTATCATTTCCACAATTCCCATAACAAACTCGTAACTTATTTTACACATATTGTAGCACTTTTATTTATTTATTTATTTATTTATTTATTTATATTTTTTTTTGCAATTTCAGGTTTAATGTACATATAAAAATAAGTATAGAAGTCAATTTCATTCTTAACAATTATACTCAGCAATAAGTGTAGAAATTTCTTTCTAGCGATCAACCTATATTGTCTTATTTGTCTTCTCATTTATAGGTTTGTTTCTATCAACTCAAGGTCTCTATTTAGGTATTTGATTCCAGTGCTACATACTATATGACTAATGATTATGGTATTTGATTCACGTTACACACCAGAGTAGAGCTACCACGACTATTTCTTTTCTTTTTTTTTTTTTGATCACCAAGAATTTGGCCTAGGCACAACCACCCTTTGGACCCACACTGGGAAAGTAAACTTGGAGTTCAGTCTACCCTCCCAATTCCTCTGAACTTCATCGGTAACATGGGGAGTATACCCAAATACTAACATGTATGACTTCTTGTAGGTTACTCTTATAGAACCATAAAGTTTCAATAGCGTCCAATGATCAAAATTTCCAATATTGATTACGAATATAATATCCTTAACAAAAAGGAAGGGATATTGACCACATAGATGAGATGACTCACTTAACCTTATCACCATGGTACCTACCACATGAGATTGAATCTGTCATCAACAATTGTTAACTAATGCCTTAATTTATCATTTTAAAGAGAAGACGATTTTCATATATGTATTTACATTTTATAGACAAGTTTCTTTTTAAACCAACTGGACAATGTAATCACAACTTTTGCAGGGAGAAACTCTTAGCATGATGAAAACTACTTATTTACGAAGTAAAATGTAACCAAGGTTGTTAAGATCGCGATCCGGATCGTACCATTTTTGGAGAATCGATTTGGATCATATGATGAATCGCATTTTGTTCAGGATCATAACAGGATCGGTGGGATTGCATATGGGATCGTAGGATCGTATTTGGATCGCGATCCTATACGATCCTACTTTTGGCCTTTTTTCTCTTATTTTTAATACAGTTTTGATGCCTTCTCTCTTTTCTAAAGACCCACAACATAAGATTAGGGCAAAAGATTGGGGAAAGTTGGTCACGAGAGCTGATAGCAGACGACGAAAGCAGCAGTGAGAAGAATCCATCCAGCCTCCATCCAGGTATGCTTCTTCTTCTTCTTCTTCTTCTTCTCTGTGCTTCGACTCCTTCTCTTCTCCTCTATTCGACTTCTTTTTATTTTTCTTCTTCTTGTCTTCTATTTTTTTCCGCTTTTCTGCTACTGCTTTTTTTCCCTCTTCTTCCATTTTTCTGTTTTTCATTCCCCTTTTGTTTTTCCCCCTTTTCCCCTTCTTCTTCCATTTTTCCCCTTATTCCATTTTTCCATTTTTTTCTATTGTCTTCTGCTCCTGTTTCTGTTTTTTTTTTTTTTTTTTTTTTTTTTTTTTTTTTTGTTATTTTTCTATTCTGTTTTTTTATTCTGTTCTATTTTTTATTTGGTTGCTTCCATTTTTTCCCCTCATCTTCTTCTATGTGTTCTTTTTGTCTCACAAGTTTGTAAGGATGGATAAGAAGATGTTATGTCAACCTAATTTTGAACTTGTAATTTATTTTTGCAGATACCACCAAGGAAAAGTGCAGCTTCATACAGGTTTCACTATAAAGATTGGATTAAACATATACCTTTTTGTTTTATTTTATTTTTTTAATGTGTTATGATGTGCAATAAGAAAACCAAATTTGTTATTGTGATTGTTTCGTTAAGTTTCATGGCTCTACTACTAACCCTTTTACTTTGCTAAAAGTTTATCCATGAATTTATTATGCCAGCATCTTAACTGTAACTTGACTTTTTTCTCTCTGATATTTCACAACTATCAAATTGTAAATTGTAATCAATTGATTCAGTGATATTCAATATATGATTGCAGGTTTGTGAATTGAGTCAACAATGTCTGCCTCTGGTTCTGGAAGAGGGAGAAAGAGGTAAAATGTTGCGGGTAACCGAACGGATCCTGGTTGGGAACATGGAATTGAAATAGATGTTGCAACCAAAAAGGTACAATGCAAGTATTGTAACGTGACTCGATCGGGAGGTATATTTAGATTAAAACATCATTTAGCTTGTACTCATCAAAATGTTGAGCCATGTCCTCAAGTCCCAGAAGATTTTAGAGAAAAGTTCATGAGTCTTTTAAGAACTCAAACATTAGAGTCTCAAAATAAAAAGAGAAAGATGTTAGATGTTGGTGATGATTCTGAAGAGGAGGTGGAACTATTATCATGTCATCATCAAAACAAACAACAACGGGTGGGTGCCATGGATACATTTGTGATGAAGAAATCTGGACGTCAAAATCAAAAAACTCTCAATCAAATGTTTAAGAAAGAAGAGAGAGATGATGTTTGTCAAATTATAGCTCATTTTTTTTACACTAGTGCAATTCCTTTTAATTGTGTCAACAACCCTATATTTCCATTCATGGTTAAGAAGATTGGGGATTATGGAAAAGGACTTGTGCCACCATCTTTCCATGAAATTAGGGTGACATTTTTAAAAAAAGAAGTGCATGAGACACTACAATTGGTTGATGAGTTTAAGGAACAATGGAAGAAGACCGGATGTACAATTAGGTCAGATGGACGGTCAGATAGAAAGTGAAGATCCATATGTAATTTTCTTGTGAATAGCCCTAATGGAACTATTTTTTTGTCATCACTAGATACATCCAACATTTCAAAAATGGGTGAAAAGGTTTTTGAGATATTAGATGAGGTTGTTGAGAAGGTTGAAGAAGAAAATGTTGTGCAAGTTGTAACTGACAATGCTTCTAATTATAAATTGGCGGGACGAATGTTAATGGATAAGAGAAAGGGCTTGTTTTGGACTCCTTGTGCTGCCCATTGCATAGATTTGATGTTAGAAGATTTTGAGAAGGAAATACAAGTTCATCGTGTTACAATTGGTAAAGGAAAAAAGATTGTGGCATACATTTATTCAAGAACCAATCTTATTCATTGGATGAAGGAGTTTACAAAAGACATTGAACTTATAAGGCCTGCGGTAACTCGGTTTGCTACCTCTTACTTGACATTGAGACGTCTTCATGAGCAAAAAGGTGCATTGTTCTCTCTATTTACATCAAAAAAGTGGAGGAATAGTAGATTTGCGAAGTCTGAAAAGGGGAAAAAAATTAAAAATATTGTTTTGGATAATCGACATTTTTGGAAGGGTGTTTTTACCTGCTTGAAGGCTGCAGTACCTCTCGTTAAGGTACTTAGGTTGGTGGATTCGGATGAGCATCCGGCAATGGGATTCATTTATGAAGCAATGGATCGTGCGAAAGAGAAAATTCAAAAGAACTTCAATAATGTCCTAACATGGTAAACTTTTTATTTAGTGTTGGCTATTTACTCTTTAATACTATTTCCCTAAACTTTTTATTTATTCATTAATAATATTTATTAAATTGTGTCAGCTATGATCCTATATGGGCCATCATTGATAGAAGATGGGAAACCCAACTCCATCACCCATTGCATGCTGCAGCATACTTCTTGAACCCTCAGTTTCATTATAGTCCCAATTTTCAAGCTGATGCAGAGATTAAAATTGGGTTGTACAAATGTCTTGAAAAAATGGTCCCTGACACTAATGAGAGGGTGAAGATAGATTTGCAAATTGATGCATTCAAGAATGCAAGAGGACTCTTTGGTATACAAAATGCAATCTTGACTAGAAAAAAGAAATCTCCAGGTTATTTATTTTTACCCTAAGTTGATTTGTAAGTTGTATCAATCTTATGTTATGATTATTTGTTTTGAAGAACTTTAAATTTTGAACTACTTAATTAAAATTTCGATGTAGGGGATTTGTAATAACCCCAACCTCTGATTAACGTTAATTCGCACTTATTATGTCTAACAGTAGATTAGGAGAGATTTGCAATTAATATGCATGTGCATTGCATTATTTACGTGTTTCTATCTGTTTGCGATAAAATGATCTATTCATGTCTTTGACTTTAAATTACGAATTGAAAGCCTTATCGGCGTCCGAATCAGAAATTTACTTGATTTATGTGCTAGCTAGAATTTATAGAATTTTATGGTAGGTTTAATTAAAATTCGATTCGGAGCAATTAAATTAGATTAAATAACGTTAAATTACACTAGTCCAATTATTTACGAAATTGCCCTTGAGTGGGCCACTTTCTCATACAATGTTTAGACTGAATTCATATACCATTTTCAGCCACTTTCCTTGCTAGAAACCGTGAGAGAGAGGGAGTGAGGGAGGAATTGAATTCATCTAGAGATTAGCTTAGAGAACTTAGGAGAATTGAAGGAGGATTGCATGTTTAAGCTCCCACACTTGAAATTGAAGGTAGTGAATTCATCCTTTTATTTATGATTGAGGGTTGTTCTTGCTAGGTTCTTGGTAAAATTGGTAGTTGAAGTCAAGATTTAGCTCAAAGTGTGGTTTTGAGAGTCCATTCATGCATGCATGCATAAATTTCCATGCTTTGGGTTTGAATTTTAAGATTTCTTCCATGCATGTGTTAATTTCACTCACATTGTGGTCATTCAACTTGTTTTCCATCAAATTATTAAGTTTGGTTATGTTTGGGTAGGTTTGAATTCAAGGGGGGTCCTTGCATGTTGGATTCATAGCATATTCATGGAGTTCATGTTGATTTTGCACAAATTGGGTTACTCTTGGGCCATGATTTCTTGAATTGAAGCTTTAACCATGTTGTTTTATGGGTTACTAAGTGTTTTCCAAAGATTTGGCCCAGAAAACTGAGTTTTGGATGGTTGGAGGTCAAGTTTCATGCTTGGAGGTCAATCTGGATTTTCCAGAATTTTGACCCACGCTCGAGCGAGGACTTTCACGCTCGAGCGTGAAGCTTGAGTACATGCACTTCCACTCGAGCGGCGAGAATCACGCTCGAACGTGAAATGCATATACCCAGAAGTTTGTGTGTTTTGCAGTCCGCTCGAGCGGGGGAAGCCACGCTCGAGCGAGGGTCTGTGTCACACGCTCGAACGGGGTTGAGTGCCCATCGAGCGTGAATTTCTTGCATCCAGCACTTTTTTATGAGTTTGCAGCCCGCTCGAGCAGGGGATTCCACGCTCGAGTGGGGATCCATTTTCTGCATGCTCGCTTGAGCGGGGAAAGCCGCGCTCGAGCGTGGACCTTATCTTCAGCAAAATTTGAGAAATGTTTTCCAATGTATTTTTGCATCCTCATTCCATCCTAGGCATTCCTAGGCCATGTTGGAGACCCCATAATGAGGATAAGAGATTAGAAACACACTAAGAGTCAGCGAAATAAGTTTTGTATAATTAGAACGTGTGTTTCAAGTGTGCATCTGTTATGTGTTGTGTAGGTCACGTGCCACGTACCGTTTGACCAAGTTTACTCCGTCTGTCTGACTCAAGGCCCACTGTGAGTAATAACCTGTAAAGTTATGTTTAACCTAAGTATTTTCTGACTGGTATGGTATAATCTGTTTCTGAAATGCTATCTTACTAATGGTGAATGAATGTCCAATTTTTTGAAAAGTATTTGTGGCACCCTTAGTTCACGTGGCCCTCGCCCGGGGGTAACAATACCGTGGCCAATCTGCATGTGGCCCTCGCCCGGGGGTAACAATACCGCGGCCAATCTGCACGTGGCCCTTGCCTGGGCATAACAATACCATGGCTACTTGCGCGCAAGATATGGACCTTTGTGGTCGTTGGTACCAACTATGTATGTAGGTCTCTGGACCAATCTGATCTGATAGCTAATGGGTATACCACGTATGATTTTATGTAAAATCTGAATATGAAAATATATATGAATCTGTTTCTGTTTGAAGTCTGATTATTCTCTGATTTAAATCCTGGATTCTAACTTGTGCTGGACATCATTCATATAACCCCTTTACTCCGTTATTATTCACTGGGCTTTCGCTCACAGTTTATATTATGTATGTAGGTGAGCCGGCACATGACCAGGGCCAGAGTTGATGGTCTTCTGTACTGTTTTGTCAGCCAACCTTTGTGCCTCCCGGGATGGTTCTGATCGAAGTTTAATGCCATGGCTGTTTTTGTAATCATGCTAGTCTTAGTGTTTGCACTGTATAGTCAGATCTTGGAAAGTTCACTTCTGTAATTATTTTGTAAATATTGGTGTCCTTGACTGGTATGTTTATGTATATATAAATAAGTTTTAAAATTTTCTATCCCATGTACGTTGTCACAACTCATTGGACCTTGTCTATTTTGTATTATTGCTTCCGCAGACCCTTATTATTTGCTAATCTGTTCAGAGGCCTTTGGTAATCCACGGATTACTGGCCGGTTACAGTGCTAAACCTACAGGGGCGGGTTTGGGTCGTGACAAGATTGGTGGGACTCTTTTCGTGATGAATGTCCTGAGTTGAAGAGGTTTGCAATTAGGATATTAAGTCTAACATGTAGTTCATCGGGGTGTGAGCGCAATTGGAGTGCTTTTGAGATGGTACACTCAAAGCGGAGGAATTGTTTACACCAAAAGAGAATGAATGACTTGGTCTTTGTCATGTACAATTTGAAACTGAGACAAAGGCACAAGAATAGACAAGCAATCATGAATCCATTATGTTTGGATGATGTTCCATCAGATGATGAGTGGATAACAGAGAGAGAGAAGCCGACTCTTCCAAGAGAAGGAAATTGGTTGAGTGTGCTTGATAGGAATGCTCGACATGGATGTCATTCAGAAGATGAGGAGGTAGATGCTCTTGCAAGGGATTTGGAACAAGCATGTAAGTCTAGGTACATGATACATCTTTTAGTTTTAATTAGAAGTTGCAATTTGGATTTAATTTGGATTTTTTTTTTTTACTTTAACTTAGGTCGTGACCATATTGGAGAAAATGTCGATGAAATTCATGAAGTAAGTGATGATAATGATATGGATGCAACATGAATGCTCCAAGGGATTTTGATCATGACTTTGATGATGTTACTATTGGTGATGATGACATTGAGGAGTTAGGTGACACTGTGGGTGATGATGAAGATGAGGGAGACAATGAGATCAACAATGTTGTTGATTGTGGCAATGATGATTTCGGCGATGAAGATGATGACTTATTTTAGTCTCTTATTTATTTATTCATCTCTTATTTTAGTTTGTTTTCTTAAGGATATCAATGTTGTGCAAGTGTTAACTTGAAGACTTGAAGTTGAATTGCTATTTTCTTTTAGTATGTTCTTTTGTTAAGATTTGAGGAAAATGTTTGAATGACAACTTGAATTGCCACCTTCTTTTATTATGTTTTCTTTGTTTAAAAAAATATGCAAAATGTATATTTGAATTGATTATTGTTAGTGAGCAAGGCACACGAGTGAGGATGCGAGGATTTGAATCTCGATCTGCTCATAAGTATGAGAGCTCTACCATTTGAGCTACATTCTCAAGTTTTTTTGGGTCATTTTATATGTATTTTGATAGTATTAGTTAGACACATAAGAATTATTGCATTTTTTCATCGTTTTAGTAGGATCTTACGATCCCCGATCCGATCCTCCAGACCCCCAAAACGATCCTATATAGGATCTCGATCTTAACAACCTTGAATGTAACTACAACAAAACTCTTGTTTTATTTATCTTTAATATATATAACAATAGCAAAATTTCTAATATGACAAAAGATGATAATCTCCACAAAAAAATGAAGGCAAAAATATTAGAATAACAGAGTTTAAGAGCTCGTTTGGTTTAGATGATTTAAGAATATATATATAAATAAAAAAATAAAAAATAAAGAATAGATTTAGTTATGCTTATGTTTAAAAAACTGAAAAAATCAGTTCAAATAATCTAAACTAATAAGCACTAAGCTTTCCTCTGAAATCAATTCTATTAACAGAGGATGGCATACTTGGGCAATGATATCATTTGAAGACCTCTATGTAAACAAAAGGGAGAGGAGATGATTTGGCAAGCTATCACTCAGGGCGCAAGCAAGCAACCCAAGCTTCCGTGAAGATAACGACAACTACATTTGCTATTGCATGGATGGGGATCTGCACAGACCAGGGGTCCTGGACCTAGATACATGATAGGGTCTAGGTGGTGTAAAATGTAGATTCCATGAAACTAAACACAGATTTGGAGGTTTTTCTCATTTCTTTTTCCCCAATGATGAAGTTGATTTAGATAAAGCATCAATTTTGGTATTTGAATTTTAAATTCTTGTCAAAAGTGGTCAATGTAATACTGCACTCTTTCTTTTTTTAGCATTTCTTTATTTTTTAATCCTCCACCTTCATCATATTCTTCTCATTTTTATAGTTCATTTCTTCTAGTTTCTTTTTTTCTTTTCAATTGGTGTATCTATTAGTCTAGTAGAATGCTGTTGGCCTTGCCAATGACGAGAGGTTTAATTCTTTCTTGATCAAACTTCCAAATGTACAGAAACAAGCTACATTTCTTTTTTGTAAGTCCTAAATAAATGCATGCACATCATATATATAAGATTTCAACTCATGAGAAGACAAGAAACCTTTGAATATTTTTAGAGAAAGAATGTCCTTTCTCTCATATCTGACCTGAAACTTTTCACTCTTACCTAATGAACGAACACCTAATTAAGATCTGCTTGAAATTTTTATCAAGTGAAATATGAATATGGATCAGATATACTTATATATATACGTATATATATATAGATAGAGAGAGAGAGAGAGAGAGAGAGAAAGCATACGCGAGACAGGGCATCAATGGAGCAGAGTTCATCTCAGCGATGAAGCCTCTGAATCTCGCGGTGGTGGCGGTGGATCTGTGAAGACCGGCAGAGGAGGAGGCGGTGGCGGCGTGAAAAGATCGGCGGTACTCACGATGACGATGGCGATGGCGATGGCGATGGCGATGGCGATGGCGATGGCGAAGGCGGAGGAGGAAGAGGAGGTGCTCCGGTTTCTGGCGAAGGCGAGGAAGAGCGACAGTGAGAGAGGGAAGGAAGAGGAGTAGCGGAGACGGGGAGGGAGAGGGAGAGGGACGCCGAAAATAGAGAGAGAGACAGAGGCGTTGATTATTTTAGGGTTTGGTTTGGTACAAAAAAAAAATATAAATATATATATATATCATTTTATACAATTGACGACTAAAATACCTAATGGTCGCCAATTAATTTTTTAAATCCATTCAAAATTTGAAAGGTCTCTAAAATATATCATCTTTGGTGACCAAAGTATGTTTTGGTCGCCAAAGATAAAAGTAACTATTTTCTTTCATTCGGCGACTAAATAATTTTAGTAGCCAAACCTAACTCTATAGCGACTAAAAAAAATTTTTGTCGCTGAAAATAAATTTGTGTTGACCAAATTTTTGGTCGCCAAAGATAAAAATATTTTTTTTCCCCAATTGGCGACTAAATCATTTTAGTAGGCAAAACAAACTCTACAGCGACTAAAAAAAAATTGTTGCTGAAAATATATTTTTGGCGACCAAAGTTTGGTCACAAAAGATAAAAAAAATAATTTTTTACTTTCCATTTGGCAACTAAATACTTTTAGTAGCCAAAACTTAATATACAACGACTGAAATTTTTTTTTTCGTCGCCAATTCTGGCGACTAAATTTTTTTTAGTCGCCAATAATCAATATACGCCGACTAAAAAAAATTAATACTAAATATTTTACTTTTGCTGACTAAAAAAATTATTAGTCGCCAATTCCCCAACTTTTGGTGACTAAATTTTTTTTAGTCGCCAATTTTAGTCGCCAAATGTGCAGTTTGTTGTAGTGATTTCACATTTTGAAAAACCCAATTCTATTCCTCAAAAATTAAATCTAAACGTATAAGTGACTACCTTTTTGTGTGCTTTTCACCTTAACGAGACTTTTAGGTGCATAAGAAGAAATGGAAGACTATAGAGTTCATAAAATCATATTTTGAAATTTATTGATACTTTACCCTTTATAAAATATCTCTAGTTTTTTATTTATTTTTTAATTTTTAATTTATTTTATTATTATTATTATTATTATTATTTTTGTGGTTGACCTAATTTTGATTTCAACTTATTTTCCGATTCGGGTAATGCATATGCTACCTACGTAAGTAGCTGGAATCATAATCCTTTCATAATGCTCAACCATAGGGATTAAATTTTTTATTTAATCTTTAAATTATTAATTGAATATTATCATCAAATTCTCTATTTAGTCCCTAAAGTATATAAATCAAAATCTATTTAGTCCCTAAACTATCATCAAATTCTCTATTTAGTCTCTAAAGTATATAAATTAAAATTTATTTAGTCCCTAAACTATCGATTGAATCTATTAAGTCCCTAAACTATTTAATCAAAACTTATTACCATCAAGGGGTCATCCTAGTTGGTAAGGGAGTATCCTCCTCTCTTTACTGACCATGGTTCGAATCACCTACTATTCAAGTGGAAGTCTGACGGTTTAGGTGGATTGACTAGCTTCCTCTAGTTTGGCTTGTGAGGGTAGATCCTAAGGGTCCTACCTTACGAGTGTTTTGGGTATCAATATCAAAAAAAAAAAAAAAAATCAAAACTTATTTAATCCCTAAAAAGATTATAAAAATAAAATATAAGCCATAAATATTATAAATTAGTAAAACACCCTATTTAGTTAAAATTTTATTTCAAAAAAAAAACGTTAAACTTTTATTCTATCTTTGAAAAGTGGGCACAATCCATATATTGAATTTCCTTTAATAAGAATAAGGGTAATTATCTATATTATTTTTTTTACTTATCTTCTACAATAGATACGTGTTTGCCTTAATATCTAGTATTATATTTCGTTTATGATTTCTAATTGATTATTTTAAAATTTTTCGCTAAGTTCTTTTTATTACTTAATTAATGTATTATTTTGTTCTATTACTATATGTAGAGAAGTGTTATTATTTAAACTATCCAATTCTACTTCTTCAATATTTCTAATATTCATATAATTTATTGATAAGATTGAAAAATCAGACTTTAATATTAATTTAAACACAGAACAAAATAAAATATCTTTTAAAAACCAAATAAAAATTTAAAAGATTTTTCTGTAATAAAATCTTAATTGGAGAAGTTTTTTACTAATTTATAATATGCATGGGCAGATATTTTATTTTTATAATCTTTTTAGGGACTAAATAAGTTTGAATTAAATATTTTAGGAACTTAATAGATTCAATCAATAGTTTAGAGACTAAATAGACTTTGATTTATATACTTCAAGGACTAAATAGAGAATTTAATAATAGTTTAGGGACTAAATAAATTCAATTAATAATTTAAAAACTAATTAAAAAATTTAATGATAGTTTAAGGGTAGGATGTGTAATAAACCCTCATAATATTACGCAAATATTGTTGGTTCATCACTGTTTCCTCTTTGTTGCGATTAAACTAGGCCCCTGCACTTTGAACGAGGGCCGACCTTGACCAAAGGTTACAAAGCAATTGCTTCGGGTCTCAAAAAATAATTCAAAATTAGAGTCTCAAATATTTTCAGCATGATAATGTTATAGATTTCAAATGAATTATTAAAATTTTTATTAAATTTCTCAGATAGATATGGGATCTACACAATGGGTCTCGCACCCATTTGAGAAGTTTGGTAGAAAATTTAGTAATTTATTTGGGACCCCTAACATAACTCTTTCAACATTTTAGAGTCATTAATGGAACGAGTTAGGCTTATTAAGGCCAAGTTTGGCTATCCTAAATAAGTACACATTTTTTATCTTTTTTTCATCACATCATCCCTCTACTTTTCTGCACATCTTTTTGTAAAAAGACAAAAAATACACTTATTTAGGTCATCCCAAACAAATCTCCTAATTAATGTGTCTAAATCTTATATATTAATTAGTTTTTTCGAGTTTTGATTAGTCAATGGATGGTACAGACCAGACTAATTTAAAAAATTAAAACTGCATCTTACCCATAAGTCTAATTTTACGGCCCAAGATCAAACCAAACTGGACTACATATTTTTCATTCGATTTATATTGTTAAGTTCTACACATTTTTTATTCACGTATTTTTAATATTTTCATTAATTGTTTTTCTTTTTTACTTTCTAACTCAAATATTTTTGTTTTTATTTTTAGTTTTTTACATCTCATATAATCAAAAAAACAATCAAGTAACATAATGTAATTTTATTTATAATACCTACAAATGGGAAAAAAAAGCGATAGTACTAGCATCGCACAAGACTAGAAATTTCAACTAGGTTGGCATTTCCTACCTTGAATTTGATCATGTGCTACCTCTCTCAAAAATCCCACAGGTTTAAACAAATACAATAAAATAAAATTACATACATCAATTCAAAAGTGCAAATTAAATATATATATATATATAGTTATTAATATATTTTAATAGATTAAATTTGAATTGAATAGCATAGATTATTTTTAATACATATCCAAAAAAAAAAAAAAATTAGATGGAATAGCTTGAGTTGGGCTAGTGAAATGGTCGGGCAAGATTTACTCATACAGACTCTTATAA